AATAGAAGTGGTCCCAAAACAGAACCCTGAGGGACACCGCTTACCACTTTTGTCCAGCCTGAAAATTTACCATTAATTACAACTCGTTGTACTCTATCCTTAAGCCAATGTTCTACCCAAGAATGAGACTATTCATCTAGACCAATTTCTTTTAGTTTGAAGACTAACCTATTGTGAAGAACCGTATCAAATGCCTTGGCAAAATCCAAGTAGATCACATCCACTGCAACACCCTGATCTATACTTCTACTTATTTCTTCGTAGAATGCAATTAGGTTAGTTTGACATGACCTATGTTTCATAAAACCATGCTGATTATTGCTAATAACAAAGTTCTTCCCAATGAATTCCTGAATATTATCCCTTAATAGCCCTTCAAATATTTTCCCAGTTACAGAAGTTAAGCTCACAGGTCTATAATTTCCAGGCAAGGATTTTGAACCCTTTTTAAATATAGGAAAAGCATCTGCCTTCCTCCAATCCTCCGGTACAACACCTGAAACAAAAGAATCTTGAAAAATTAAACACAGAGGTTCACTTATCTCCCCACTTAGCTCCTTAAGTACTCGTGGGTGAATACCATTAGGCCGCGGAGCTTTATTGACATTAATTTTCTTTAATAGCTGTAGCACCTTGTCTCGAGTTATCCACTCACAAGTTATTTGCAAGTTTTTTGCAGCAATCATTTGCATATCTCTTGCCATAGGATCCTCATTAATATATATACTGAAGAAAAATAGTTATTTAAAATTTCTGCTTTTTCCTGGTCTTCATTAGCTAATAAACCCAACTCTGTTTCAAGTGTACCTACACTTAAATTTTTTGTTTTTTTAGAATTGATGTACTTGAAAAATGTTTTGGGGTTGGTTTTGCATTCTTTAGCTATCAATTTCTCATATCAGTCAGAATGAATTTTAGCATATTTTTTTAGAGCTTTTTTTAGAGATAATTGTAACTACTGGTAAAATAAGTTAATAAATAAATATATAATCATCCAGTGTTTCTACAATAATAAGAGTAAACATGCCTCTTTAGAGAATGATAACTAAAAAAACCACAGGCAGTGTTATTTACTAAATTACAAATTATTGGTAATTCACCATAGAATTGCACATTTCAAGATAAAACATCCAGGCTGGAAACATAAGTGATTTGGAGATTTTCTCCTAATATTCTCTTGTTCAAGTGAGCCTGTACTGAAAAAAAATGAATTACCTTAAATCGCCCTCATATACGTTTAATACGTGATCTATTACAACGATACATAATGTATTCAATGTAAAATATCAATATATACTCACCTCACTTCCATTCCAGTACTACCATATTCAGAGCTTTGTGGAAGATACTATTTATGTAACACACCTTGTAACGGACCATTTTGCCCAAAAGAGGTTAAAAACCGTTTAGGCGATATTCCCCTTTTCCAGCTGCCCCGACAGCTACTGCAAGCACCAATCTCCTGAACTGCAAACCCACGAATTCACCAACTCCCAAACTGCAACCAAGGGAATACTCGAAACTCCCGAACTGGAGACACATGAATAGCTGCTAGCAGACTAACAGGAAAAGCCCCCAAGCGGCTTACACTCCTGGCAATCAGTCTCTAACAGCATACAGTAAATCCTCCCCCAATAATGAGACGACACTTCACTTTGAGGGTTAAGCAGGAACTCCTTTACTGGGGCTAACTGCCCGGCTTTTATGCAGGTCTCCCACCTGGTGGACACTCCCCTAGGGGACCAAATGGGAGACTGGGACACAAAGGGTAAAAGGACCAATCACAGACTTACACATTTCAACCATCCCAGAATGCATCACAATCCCTCCTCTCTGCCCTGGAGATAATTTGGGAAGTAATTCAATTATCTCCAAAGACAGAGGCAAAACTCCATTAACCACATGGCAGAAAACAAACAGTAAAAGACATAAAATTACCTACAGTTACATTCAGTACATAAAACATATATGTTCTACATATCCCCAGATAGCTCAGGTCTGAGCGCACATTATTAAGCGAATGGCGCTCAGACCACACAAATACAGTTTAATCGCCATGGAGCCAAAGTCTTTACACAGTCAGTTTCATGTGAATGGGCTCCATGGGATTCCTATCTGGGGCACAACACACTCAAACAAAACTACCGAACACCGGGCTGTTCGTGCACTTTCCCTGAACAAGAAGGGAGGTCGGCGGCTTCAGCGGTGTTTGTGCAAAACTGTGTCCGATTTCAGTTCCATGAATTAAGCGTCGAACACCGCTGTGCATTCGCATGTTTAAAATGGCCGCGACCTCGTGTTCGTGGTACGAATGGCGGCCACCCAGCATTCGTCAATTAAGCTGCGGTTAACCGCAGCTTCAGGGAGATTAATTGCCGGCACACTCCAGCTCCCAGGTGGTCTATTCATTTGTGCGGTTGTTCGGTAGATTGAATCTACCGAACACCCGGCAGAAAAGCACGAATAAGTCTTTTCTGCTGGGAAAAAAGATGTCTTTTAACATGGGGCCATAGTCCAAAGGCAGCAGGTGAGCAACCAGGCTTCTCAAGTGTACAGTGGCGAGGTTGGTTTCGCCACACACCTCATATCTGTCCTTTGCTCCACATCCGGTTTTCTGTGATACACTACGCTTGGGAACGCTTTTCCAAGCAGGAAAAAATCTCCTGTTTAACGCTGACTGGCTTTGGTGTAAGCATGCTGGTGTCTGAACATAGTGACATCAGTCACTCCATTCCTGTACTCCTTAGCCAAGCCAGCGCTAGTAGAGTCGGCAAGAGAATTTTCATAGCAACTGTAGTGCAAGTGCTATGGTTGCTATGCTAGGGAGAGAAGAAGGGCCTTGTCAGTCAGACAGTTTCTCCAAATCTATACATTTTGCTAGCAAATCTTCTAGCACAGTGGTTCCAACCCCGTCCTCAAGTACCCCCTAACAGTCCAAGATTTAGGGATTACCAAGTTGTGCCTAAGGAGTTTTTAGAAAGGGAAAAAAATAACTTTAGACACAACAGGGTAGTCCCTCTAAAAATTACATTGATTAAATTGAGTTTTCCTTGCAAATAAAATGGCTAGCGCTTCAGAGATGTCGAGGGAGGCATTACTCTGCTGCAGGCATTCCATAGGGCTCATGGTGTGCTTCCTATGTTTGTTTAATACAAGGTGTCATGGAGGGCTCAGGAGAACATGGTGGATCGGAACGAGAAGTGACTTTCTTTACCTGTGAGCAGATGGGCCCTGCCCAATTCTGATTCAGCGATCCAGAGCAGCTACAGCAGCCCCCAGGAGTCCTGAACCGAGTGAGGCTGGTTTAGGGACTAAAATCCCAGCGATTGCGGTGAGAAGGTTCGGGAGAGTGCCAGGCGTAAAATCTCCAGATCTGGGTCGCATTCCCAAAATGGAGGTGCAACGCCTCAAGATGGCCCCGGATTCGGGGTAAGGTTCCTGAGCACTAGGCCCTCTCTTCCGTCTGCATAGGATGTCACATCAGAGCATGCAGCTACATGTTAGGGGAGACAGAGTGATGCTCAACAGTGCCCAGGGGCACATACAATGTCCATATGCACCACTGCACAGACATCACAGGCCCTTACGTCATTCAGTGGTGCCAGATAAAATTTGGTTGAAGTTTGCGAATTGCATTCAGAGGCAATTTAACAATTGGATTCGGATGTCATTCGGGATTAGAATGTTATTCAGTCGCTGGATTCTGAGGCAATTTACAGCAGGGATTTGGAGTATGTTCACTGGAGTACTGCCAAAATTTGCAGCAGGATTTCTGCTTTCAGTTGAGTTTGGTGAGCCAAGGAGAGCAAAGTGCAGTTTTCTGCACATTCGGCTGACTTTTAGAGGATGGAGAGACTGGTTCCCCTGCTCCAGGGTCATGAGTATGCTTGCGGTCGTGCTTGGGCTGCACAGACAGAGCCAGCAGGGAGTAGTGGATCTCAAAAGGGAAATAGTGCAGTTGTTCAGGGTAGTGTTAGAGCACTTTACCCTTGCACAGGATTCAGGGTCTACATTGGGTCCACAGGTGGGTCACCTCCCTGTCCTGAGGTGTGCTTTACAGGAGTTATGGATTCAGGACCAGAGTTATGTAGTACCCCCTCTCTGGGTCCAGAATGTAATGATTCTTTGCTGTGTTTACATGTGCCCTTGGATAAAATAAATAAATAAAATAAAAATAATTTTATTAAGGGTGAGTCAGTGAACAGACCATGGCAAGGGGAAGTCAGGGAGGGGGACAAAGGTAAGCAATCGCTTAGAATGTTTGGAAATTGGTTCCAAGTCTTTGTGACACTTGCAAGTATTTTTACTAGTAGGTTTCCTAAGAGGGCACTGTCATTGTTCACCTATTTTGACCTCATTTGTGGTGTCTACATGGTATATGGAGTTCAGTGCTTGATCAGTATGTAAAAATGCAGGAGTGTCAGCAGGTCACAAGAAAGGCTCTTTAAGGAGAGCCACTGTTGGTGGTACAGCAGCTGTCAATTTAGACTGTTCCTGTAGCAGATGGTACCAGGGCTGTCCTAAAAGACTGGAATAATATTGCAAGTCGTGTGTTGTTTCCGTTTTTATGGTTAAAATGTATGTGGGATTCGTATGATTGTTCAGTAGTTTCCATCCGTAGTCCATACGAATGTAAACTACCGAACCAATAGACCACCCCAGAGAGTGTGTGTACCTTATTAAGCGTTCACACTTCTCTAACCGCAGGTTAATCGGTACTTTAGTGATGTATCTGGGTGGCCGCCGTTCGGTATACGAACATGTGGCGGCGGCCATCTTACGCATGAAACTCAGCGGTGTTTGGTTGTCGAGTGTCTGGAACTCAAATCGGACACTCGATTACTCGAACACCACTGAGACCTCCATGGCTCCGTAGCTCCCGAACTAGAAGGCTAATCAGCCTCCCGTTCGGTAGATTCAAAGTACCGAACGAAGGGGTTCATACGAATGCAAGATTAATCATGGATGGCAGTATTTTATGTGTGTTTTACCTCCCAAACGAAGACCGACCGCAGGGCCAAAATCCATGGAACCCTTTTCGGATACCACCTCGTGTGCGGTCGGTCAAAATACATCCTCCACCTAACTCCCGAACCCCTGGTCTGATCTGGGTGAATTTTGGATATGTTAGTCACCCAGATCAGGGCTATCAGGGGGTACCCTCAGTACTATTGTAACTGCTTGTTTTGGGGTACATTCAGAACTCGGGGAAAACTACAGTATGTATAATGGGATTAAGTGTCATACTGAGGGGAGGAGATGTGTGGGAGGTAACAGTTACACTACTGGATACTGTACTTATTACTGTGAATCCCTCCCTTGCATGGGAGAATGCTTTATAAGGAGACTGTGTGGATTAAAAGTGAGTTCTGCTCCTGATGCTGTGTGTCGTCCAGTCATTGGGATCTGTATGGGGATATTCGTGGATTACTGGTTTGCTAGAATTACTGCTTCATGGTGTTTTTATTACTTGTTCATGAGCCTCACTGGGATCTATTGTGGAGTTAACCTGTGGAATACCAGGCCTCTGCTACAGTTCCAATTGAAGGGGAGCAAACTCAACAGTGCATTGCTTCAAGCTGGTTAAGTCCCTTTTAAGAACACCGTTCCTCACAGCGAGGACTCCAGTAAAGGCAGAAAGGCAGCTAACATGGCTCGTTCGGTACGCCAAGTGTAGGAATGCTTACATTTTATGTGAAGATTTTATGAACGGTTTCCGTATTCTGTTTGTTGTGTTGCAGGAGGCATCATTTGCACCTAATTTTTTATTGGTTTGGGGTAAGTAGGATTTCTTCAAAAGGAGGTTAGGCAGGGTCACTTTGACAATTGGCGTGTGTCCTCTTTGGGCTTGGTTACAAAAAAATGAACCAAGCACCTTTTGGCTCATTCACCATTTATCATTCCCATTTGGATCTTCGGTGCATGATGGCACTGCTAAAGAGATCTGTTGACTATGGTATGCATCTTGTGATTGGGCATTGAAGTTGGTCATATGGTAGGGTTGGGGGCTCTGTTGGCAAAATCTGAATCTCAATCTGCATTTAGTTTCTTGCCAGGTCATTTCAGATTATTTTCATTTACTGGGCTGTCAGTTTAATAGAAATGACATGTACCTTCTGATGGGCTGTTTGAGTTCGTATTTTTACTATTATTATATTTTTGTTTTATAAGGGGTGGTTTAGCGGGTAGCGTTTTGTTCATCTCTTCAGCATTATCTTGACTATTTTTGTTTGTGGGTTCGTCGGGTTCTCAAGTTTGTACAGACTTGTTCCATTTTCATAGGGTTATGGCGGATTTTGGTGTTCCAGGTGCTGAGGAGAAAACGGAGGGTTCTAGTACGATTATTTCTTCCTGGGGATTAAGATACACTTGGTAACAAGGTGTTTCACTTGCCGGAGGAAAAGCTTCATGTTGTCATTTCTGGTGTATCAAGTTCGAGGGGCTCCCTATTGGGCCATTTGAATTCGGCAATCCCTACTGGGCCACTTGAATTTTGTCTGTAAGTCATGCGCATGGGGCGTGCATTAAGTCACTGACTTTCCTTGGCATTTCTGGTGGTTCAGGTTCGAGGGGCTCCCTATTTGGCCATTTGAATTTGGCAATTCCTACTGGGCCACTTGAATTTTGTCTGTAAGTCATGCGCATGGGGCATGCATTAAGTCACTGACTTTCCTTGGCTATGGTTGGTATTTATCTACCTTTTAATTTTACTCGCCTTTTGTGAGTTTAAAGTTTTGTTCTTGTGGATTACAATGGTCACACATTTTGGCGCAGTTACACAGTGTCTAACTTGGCCTTTGAGCTGTTCAAGAAGGCTTCAGCTCAGTTGGTTTTGGTGTCATTTTTCCAGGGCTATGATGTGCAGGCCACTGGGTGGTCAGATTCCTTTTTGGTGCTATTCCTGATTGTAATGTTGGTCAAGCTCTGAGTCTCGGCTTTGGCAAAGCAGCAAGTTCTTTTCCATACAGATTACCTTAGGGCGGTTCATTTTGTGAGCCAGTTATCATTGGGTTCTCTTCTGCTATTGGCCTTATTGCAACAATTGGTTCTGCATTGCTTGGAATTTAATATTTGGTTTGGGTGCATGTGCCAAGTATGTCTAATGTATTGCCGACTCTCTCTCGCTTCCAGTAGGATCAATTTCGGGAGATGACACCAGAGGCAGAGGCTTGTGGAGTGCAGCAAATGCTTCTGGAACCTTAGTTTTGGAACTTGACTGACTTGATTGGGAGGTGCCTGGCTCCTACGTCTTTGGCAGCATACTTGACAGTGTGGAATCAATAGATTTGTGTGGTAGGAGAATTTGGTTGGTCTTCTTCAGAAAGTCGGTTGTCATCCACTTTAGAATTTCTTTCTGACTTGCGGCATCATGGGACATCCAGGTCAGTGGATCAGGGTAGGTCAGCTCTTTCAATTTTTATGCACTTCATGGAAGGGGAAGATGTGACTAAAGCATTTGTGGTTCAACGGGTATTGGACTGTTGACGGTCATTCGGCATCCTGTATTTGTGCACTTGCTGGTAGAAGTAGGTGGGAACCTGCCTGCTATTTATGTTTCCACATTTGAAGCAATCCTGTTCCGGGTAGTCTTTTCGGTGTGTTTTTATGCAGCTCTATGGGTCGGTAGATTGGTGGCTCCCAGTTCTAGAGCTCAGTCACCCCTTTTTAGGAAGGATGCTCTTTAGCGTAAAAAATTAAGTGGAATTTCTGATTTGGCAATCTAATATTGATCAAATGGGTAAAGTGATTAGGATTGGAGCGACAATTATTTGGATATTCATCCGAGTGCTGCGGGTTCCTTTTTGTTGCATGCATATTGGTCAGTTCTTCTCTGTTCACTAGAGTGTTTATGTTGGTGTTGTTGAGTGGATGATAGTGGTTACTCAACTCATTCATTCCGCATCAGTCCGACTATGCAGGCAAGCAGTAGAGGTCTGTCAGACAATTCTATTCATCTGCTGTGTCGGTGGGAATCGAGCAGGTTTCGATTGTATGTTCAGCTGCACCTTTCATAGGTGCCTGGGTATGGTTAATGTTCGTTTTATTTCTTTATTTCTAGTTATTCTCCATATGTTTGAGTCCTTGGGTATTCTTTTATTAATTGGTTAGGTGGTGTGGGATCAGGGGGTTGCGCTGGCAGCAATTTTATCTGGAGTGATCACTTCTATGTATGTGGTATGTGATGGAACCTGTTATACTGCTGATTCTGCTAATCCACGCTGGTGGTAATTACCTGGGTCAATAGCGCACAACGCCAAAGGGGTATAGCGAGGTAGATGTCGCTTCAACATGACAATATCATGTATATTTAGACAAATGGAGGACATTTAGTTGCTCCAATGGCCATTAGAGGGAATGCCCGCCTGCCAACGTCAAGGCCAACCCCCCTAAAGCGGGTCGACACCGAACCTTCAGCCTGCTTCCTTGAGCTTCTGGCAAAGATATCTCTAATGAGACAGAGAGGGTTATTTTTTATATACTTATTAACCCTTAATAGGGAACATATGGGATGGGCGGCAGCATTGTAACAAGGCTGTGTGATACAAAGTAAAGTCCTGCGCTCACTCCCATCACTACTGGGCCGGCAGCAATGACTACGGTACACATCAGCCCCAATATATAGTAAAAACCAAAGAAAAGAAAAAGTTACCTGCGCTTTCTCCTTAAACCCTATGTATATTTAGACAAATGGAGGTCATTTAGTTGCTCCAATGGCCATTGGAGGGAATGCCCGCCTGCCAATGTCAAGGCAGACCCCCCTAAAGCAGGTCCTACACTGACCCTTCAGCCTGCTTCCTTGAGCTTCTGGCAAAGATATCTCTAATGAGACAGAGAGGGGTATTTTTTATACACCCCTATATACTTACTGACAGCCATTGGAGCAACTAAATGACGCAGGACTTCTCTTTTTTCAGTAGTATTTACTTTGTATCACACAGACTTGTTACAATGCTGCCGCCCATTCCATGTGTTCCCTATAAAGGGTTAATACGTATATAAGGGTGTATATATAAAAAACAAAACAAAAAAAAACCCTCTCTGTCTCATTAGAGATATCTTTGCCAGAAGCTCAAGGAAGCAGGCTGAAGGGTCAGTGTAGGACCCGCTTTAGGGGGTCTGCCTTGCCGTTGGCAGACGGGCATTCCCTCCAATGACCATTGGAGCAACTAAATGACCTCCATTTGTCTAAATATACATAGGGATTAAGGAGAGAGCGCAGGTAACTTTCTTTTCTTTGGTTTTTACTATATATTGCTGCCGGACCAGTAGTGATGGGAGTGAGCGCAGGACTTCTGCGTATATGACAATATCACGATTCGTACAAGGTTTGGGTAGATTGGTGATTTGTCATGTTGAACTTGAAGGTGATAACCAGAATGTTATGTGTATTGATTTGGTACATCTTACTCATATCGGTTTGGATAAATTTAATATCGGGTTACAATCAGTAATTGAACAGGAGCTGGCTTTGGGGGATGCATCCACGTAGTAGGGGTAGTAAGGGTGGGGGACTGCGGTGGCGGGTTTCTTGTGCCAGTAAGTTTGGTAAATGAATAATGTCCGGACGGGCTTGGGAAGTCGCAGCCTGAATTTGGTTGATGATGAAGGACAGGCTGAAGAGGCTCTGGAAAAGGTTTGAAGTGTACCTGTCTCCTGGGTAAAACCAGCATCTAACAGTATTTGGTTGTGCTGGTTTAAATAAAGCTGTGGCCATTGCACTTATCCACTTAACATGGTGTTGCGTTACTTATTGGTAATGGAAGGGTAATGGGATTTGGTGATCGAAGGTGTCAGCAGTCAAGCTTGGTGTGAAGAGTGGTTTGTTTGTTTTTTATAATAATAATTAACCTTGTTACACCCCTTGGCTAACAAGCTGAACTTAGTTGCAGGCAATTGACCAGAGCACCTGCCTTGCAAAGACTTCTCATGGAGCTGCATTGGGAAGTCTGTGATTCGACAGCCACAGAAATTCTTGGCTGGGGAAGAAGGAGAGCACTTATAAGCTGTTAGATATACATCAAATGAAAAAAAATTTATAATTATTTGCATACATGTTTTTATTGGGGGTATATATGTACTAAACAGTGATTTTAATTTTTTTTTCTGTATTTGTGTACTGGAGTGTCTTTAATTTGGGGCATACTCAATAAGTCTAGAGTCTAAGGTGTTTTTTTTTCTTCTTTTTCTAAACACCATAGACACCTAGGTAATCCTTAAATCCTGGGCTAGTAAGGGGTCCTTGATGACTGGGTTGAGAACCCCTGCTCTACATAAAGTTGCTGAACACTCCTCATTGAGATGCATTCAGTTAACGTCATTTGCCATGCAAATGTAAAAGCCATCTCCCATGCTTTCCCCCTGCTAGTGGAAATATTGGATTGGTTGATATCATAGTTATTGATGATTTAAACAGGGGAGACCAGCATTGTGTAGGCTAAAAGTTAAGAAAAACCTTTTTAAAGGAACACTATAGTCACCTAAATTACTTTAGCTAAATAAAGCAGTTTTAGTGTATAGATCATTCCCCTGCAATTTCACTGCTCAATTCACTGTCATTTAGGAGTTAAATCACTTTGTTTCTGTTTATGCAGCCCTAGCCACACCTCCCCTGGCTATGATTGACAGAGCCTACATGGCTACACTTTCAAACAGATGTAAGTTACCTTAAATTATTGTATCTCAATCTCTAAATTGAACTTTAAAGGACCACTCTAGGCACCCAGACCACTTCAGCTTAATGAAGTGGTCTGGGTGCCAGGTCCAGCTAGGGTTAACCCATTTTTTAATAAACATAGCAGTTTCAGAGAAAATGCTATGTTTATTAATGGGTTAAGCCTTCCCCCTAATCCTCTAGTGGCTGTCTCATTGACAGCCACTAGAGGCGCTTGCGTGCTTCTCACTGTGATTTTCACAGTGAAAGCACGCCAGCGTCCATAGGAAAGCATTATGAATGCTTTCCTATGTGACCGGCTGAATGCGCGCGCAGCTCTTGCGGCATTCAGCCGACGGGGCGGATCGGAGGAAGAGAGCTCTCCGCCCAGCGCTGGAAAAAGGTAAGTTTGAACCCCTTTCCCCCTTCCAGAGCCGGGCGGGAGGGGGTCCCTGAGTATGTTTTCCTGGCACTATAGTGGTCCTTTAATCACATACAGGAGGCTCTTGCAGGGTCTAGCAAGCTATTAACATGGGGATAAGAAAACCTTAATTAAACAGAACTTGCAATAAAGAAAGCCTAAATAGGACTCTCTTTACAGGAAGTGTTTATGGAAGTCTGTGCAAGTCACATGCAGGGAGGTGTGTCTAGGGTTCATAAACAAAGGGATTTACCTCCTAAATGGCAGAGGATTGAGCAGTGAGGCTGCAGGGGCATGATCTATACACAAAAACTGCTTCATTAAGCTAAAGTTGTTCACGTGACTATAGTTTCCCTTTAATAATTGTTTTACGTGGGCCACTACTCTACATTGCCAGTAAATTTCTAGTAAAACATCTTTGGAATTCTAACATTTAAATGTTCCTTTAAATGGCATTTGGTTGTTAGATATAATTGCTTCAACTTAAAGTTTAATGTGGCCCAACCCATAATAAAGTAAAATTAGGAGAAATGTTATCAGGTCTGAGCAGAAAGGTTTGTGAATAGAAAACTTAGGTTTTTAATAAAAACTTGGGTTTTAAATCACAGCAAAAGGGTGATTTGAACAAATAGTAAAACTTGATGCGATTATAATATTTCTAAACTATGTACAGTGCTAAATGTTCTAAACTAGGTCCAGTGCTATCAACAAGTTATTGTGAGAGAGAAATAAAGGAATACTGTGAATGTGATCCAGCAATGTTTATTTTATCCTAGTTTCCAAGGTGTAAAATCACTAAGCTTTTGTTGGTGAATATACCGGCAGATATACTCATATTGAGCAGTGCAATTAAATGTTCCAGAGTCAGCACAGATTATTGTAAATGAAGCAGATTTGTTCCAGACCGTCAGAACAGGCTTGACTCATCCA